CAAAAGAAGTGCTATTTCTCAATGATCGAGTAAAATGTCGAGGCTTTATTTCTTGTTTCAATGATTTTATTGAAATTTTTGATGAATCTCCATACATTTCCTTATAGCAGGACACCACAGAAACCAAGCTTGGGCTACCTGTGGTCAATCCTCTCGCAAAGTCAATGTAGATGGGTAGGATGGCTTTGGGCGTGCTTTGGTACAATTCTACCCATGGGTTCACCCTAATAACGTTTTTTCTTCCAGGGAACTCGGTGGATATGAGTAGAAGAACTTTAGAGATGGTTTGGACCAATTCTACCCATGAGTTCACCTTAATAACTCTTTTACTTCCAGGAAAATCTCTTAGCAACTCAGTGGATATTAGTAGTAAGACTTTAGAGATGGTTTGCACCAATTGTACCGATAAGTTCACCCCATTAATTCCAGTGAATCCGGTCAATCCTCTCGCAAAGTCGATGTAGATGGGTAGGATGGCTTTAGGCTTGCTTTGGTACAGTTCTACCCATGGGTTCACCCTAATAACTTTTGTTCTTCCAGGGGAATCTCCTTGGAACTCAGTGGATATAAGTAGAAGGAATTTAGAGATCGTTTGGACCAATTGTACCCATGAGTTCACCCCATTAATTCCAGTGAATCCGGTCACTCCTCTCGCAAAGTCGATGTAGATGGGTAGGATGGCTTTAGGCTTGCTTTGGTACAATTCTACCCATGGGTTCACCCTAATAACTTTTGTTCTTCCAGGGGAATCTTTCTTCCCCAAATTTAACTTTCATTTGCTTCATATGTTGAAGTCATTAAATTAAGCTCATCAACTGCAGACATTATGTAAAATATTTTGAGTTCAAACTAGAGGCAGCATTGCACGATCTCTAGCACTTTCTAGCCTATAAATTGATAAAACTTTTCTGAAATATCGATTTAAGACAAAATGTTTTGCAGAATAGTTTCCTATTTTATGACATTGACAAGCACTGTCCAACTCATTTTTTTAGTTGAAACATTTGTCTAATCTTCTCTACATACTCGACTATAGACATCTATAAGTACTGGAAAAAGACTTCTTTTAAATTGCTCGCAGCACTTAATTCACTTTCTGTTAGCAATGTATTCACCATTATTTGGATTTCCTTTTTTGCAGATTTCACAAAAGTGCACTTCAATGAGTGCACCGAGGCATCGTTAAAAGTGAGTCTCCGCTGCAAAATTACAAGCCTGGACAGCAGGAGCAGAAAAGAGGCTTCAACCTTATGATAAGTTTTTTAAAAGTAATGTTTAATAAATGAGCAGGAGTGTTTTTCAAATTTAAAACCACGAGGCCGCAGGCTTAAGTATCCCAATATTTACTTATTTTAACGTATTTATATGAGAAATGGTTGTTACCAGTGAAAAGGGCTTATTTTATTTCTGTTTCAATTCTGGGTCAATCCGGTCAATCCTCTGCCAGATCTTTGGTTCATTATATAACTGACGATTGAACTCCAGCTTCACGAACTCTAATTTTTGCAGTGCAAATAATTTTTTCCAGGCATCTTGTATGAACTGTACAATGACAAAGGCCAAGCCGTGGCCGAGGGCAACTGCTCGCCAAAAAGGAATCATGCCCATGGACGCAAGCTTAAGCGTGGATGGGCTGTGTACACAGTTACACGCATCCTGGTGAACAATCCCAAACCCTGGAAGGACTTTCCAACACATTCTGGGTTCGTAGAAGTAGGGTCCTTTGTGGCTTGGCGCAAATCGCATGTAAAGCAATGCGGTGAACAAAAAACAATGACCAGAAAGACCAGAGAGCGCAAAACTGAAGCAGCTATGCTGATTGATAAATTGCATCCGCAATATTCTAGCACTTCCTTCACTAGGCAATCCCGGAGGAGTTGCATTTTTTGTATATCTTTTGCAGCAGTAAAAARAGGTCTATGATATGTTGCCCACTGAAGGGATGTACATGGGTTGGACGACGTTATGATTACCACTTGCCAAAAGTCCATGCAATTAAGAAGGGTTCTAAAAAGTACCTATCACTGATTAACAAAAAATSTTGAATTAGAGTATATTACAATTTATTATATAGATATCGATGAAATACCAGGTTTTCTCTAGTGTCGAAAACTTGATATCT